GTGTGTGTGTGTGTGTGTGTGTGTGTGTGTGTGTGTGTGTGTGTGTGTGTGTGTGTGTGTGTGTGTGTGTGTGTGTGTGTGTGTGTGTGTGTGTGTGTGTGTGTGTGTGTGTGTGTGTGTGTGTGTGTGTGTGTGTGTGTGTGTGTGTGTGTGTGTCCACCATAACTCATGAACCGATACACAATAAAACATTAATTAGATTTTGGGCAGAGTCGGAATATCTGGGGGGGTACTTTATAAGTGGTCATTTTTATATTTTATGGAATATATCTGTTATTTACGTTTGGAGAAGAAAATTCTTCAAATAAAAGTTACTTCTTATATTATAATATAAAATTTTTGTTGAATACAAAATTTTCTTAAAATGGTCCGTATTCGAGAAATTTGACAAAATGTCGAAAAATATTTTTATATAAAAATTGTTTAAACAAAAATTGTTTGTAATATAATTCTCTATAATTTTTATTTTACACATAATTTCTCTAAAATAAACCGTATTCGAGATATTTGAGAAAATGTGTAAAATTTAAAATTTGAAGAAAACTCAAAAACGGATAAAGAAGAAAACATTAAATTTTAAACTTAAGTTTTATTTCGACCTGACGTGAAATGATTAGATTTTGCACAAAGTCGAAACATCTGGGGGGTACTTTATGGGAGGCCGTTTTTATATTTTATGGAATATATCTGTTATTTATGTTTGGAGAAAAAAAAAGTTACTTATTGTCTATAATTTTTGACTTATGTCAAAATTTCCTGAAATGGTCCGTATTCGAGAAATTTGACAAATTGTGCAAAATTCTGATTTTTATAAAAATTGTTGAACTAAAAGTTGTTTGCGATATCGATCTCTATAATTTTTGTTAATACATGATTTTTCAAAAATGGACCGTAATGGAAAAATTGTAGGAAAAGTACTAAATTTAAATTTTTCAGTATTTTCGTTTTCAATGAATATCTATAGAAAAATGTATGTGGAAAATGTATATATTTAGTTACTCCTCTAAACATTTATAGAGATGCTGCAATAGGTTGTACAAAATAACCGGAAAAAGTCTGTAATAACTAGATTGGAAAGTCATGTGTTCGACACATCAGATTTTTTATTTTAAATTCATATTTTAAATGTACCATTTGGAACTTTATGTATCTACAGCGTACTGTAAAAAAATAGATAAATAAATAAATAAATATGTGAATTTAATTATATAGTTTCTTCCTTAAAAATAACTTGGTAGATAATAAATTTACTTGTTTAATTATTATGAAAGAAAATATTATATATAAAGAAAATGAAAAATATGCTCGTTTAAATCGTTGCACCTATTTTTAGTTGATTTTTACTTACTTTGTTTTTTAAATAAATAATAACTGCACCTATTTTTAGTTGATTTTTACTTACTTTGTTTTTTTAAATAATTAATAACATTTATTTTGATTTTTACAAATTTGATATTTAATAATGGATGTTCAACTTATACAGAACAATGTTTTTTAGCATGATATTCTGCTATGAAAGAAAAAGAAATAATTTCAGATGTTATATATTCTTCTTCAACCAATTCTGTATTATTAAATTTAGCTTCTAAAATTCCTGAGATTTTTACTAGAATTATAATCCAGCACAAAGGAAATCTACAACACAATATTTTTAAAATTTAATTTTAGTGATTAAAATATTATTATACTAGGGCGACTATACATTTTTAAAGTTTGTCCAGCAATTGGTATTGTGCAGCAAACGTACCGGCATAGGTATATGTCAAGTGAAATGCTGTGTTTATCCACCAAAACGTCACTACTGTCCACCAATGGTAATATTTAATTTACTGAAATGTAACAAATTTAAATGTTATTTATCTTTAGTGAACTACATGAGCACTTCTATACTGCCGTCCTAGCAAGAAAGGTTTTATCTGCAAAATTACCAGTTTTTTTTTATTTATGTGCATTTGTCTACATTGTATCTTTCTTGATACTGAAATGTCTTATTTGCATCAAAGGTACTAAAATGTTATAAAGTTACACAAAAAAGGTTTAAAAGATAATATATATATATATATGCTAAAAATAGTTAAAAACTCGATTATTTCAAAACAACAAATTTTTAATAAGGACCTCTCTTGATAGGATGGCAGTATCTGTAACGTATCTGTAACGTGTGAAGGGTGGGTTACCCCCACGGCACTTAGGCCTCATTAGGCCCATTGTACATCCTCTTAAGATGATAGGCACCTCCTAGCTCGTCAGCCAGCCTACAGATTTAATGTAGTTGACAAGTCGCCAAGAGGTGCTTCTTTTATATCGGCCGGTGTTAGCCGATACTCGCCGAACACAAATCTTCTAATCTAATAAATGAGAGCGTCGGGCAATCGTAAAGGATATGCTCGATGGTCTCATCTTCTTGTTTGCACCCTCTGCTGAGTGCGGATTCTGACAGCCCCATGATATGGAGATGCTTCCCGTACTTGGCAATGACCAGTCAGAATGTCTGTGACCAGACGCACATTCTGTCTAGACATAGTCAAGTATTTGTTTGCTGCAGTGTTTTCAGGATAACTTAAGAGCTCCCTGGTAACTCTGCAATTTCTTGTTTCATCCCATCTTTCTTTGAATTTCACAAGGGGATGCTCCTTAATTAGGTCTGTCACTACCGATTTTGTCAGGCCAATAGAAGGGCCAGGTCCAAAAAGTATTTGGTTAACAGTATATGACTTTTCTGTTTTTGTATTTTTATAGTTAGTAGTAGGGTTATGAGTATCGGTCAAAGGTATCGATACCGGTATCATGTGAGATATTTTGTAGTAGAGGCAACGATACTGTTCGATATTATGTTGAAGATATCGATATTTATAAGTATCGAGTAACAAAGTATCGAACAAGTAAAAGATTTTTTTAAACGGCTGACAACCCCCATTCAACAAGACGGAGTGGGGAACTTAACTAAAAGCAAGAGTGCATCAGTAAAGTATATTCTGTAGTTGACACCTTTTCTTTCTCTACTGGTTCTCTACCTGGTACAAGATATAGTGTCAATAACTGGCAATTTACCTTATAATTAAATAACAACAAAAAACAGTGGTAACGGTTAATCATATTACCAAGTTTCAACACATGCGAAAATTAAAATATTTCGGTACAAATATTTTGAACAAACCTTATTATCTCTCACCACACACATAACGATACGATACTTGCTTCTAATAAGTATCGATATGGCGATAGTATTGGTAATTCAGTGTCAAGCCTAAATATCGATACTTTCATTGTTTAATATCGTTACTTCTACAGTATTGAGGCATCAATAAGATCCCTATTATCGTGTAAAATATAGGCATTAATTTAATTGTGTCAATTCGTTTACAATGATTTATTTTTTATTGTAGTTGGAAACTGAAATATTGCAATCTAAAACAACAACAATAAATTAGAAAATATGTTTCTATTTCATTAAAAAGAAGAAAAGAACTTACCAAACTTATTCAAACGTATAAATAGTTTACAATTTCTTTAAAATCTCACATACAAGAAAAAATGACAAGTGACATGTTTTTATATTTTGTTGATTATGACAAACGAATGGCTATGTTCGAAAACAAGATGATTTTCATAGTACTTCTCGTGGATACTTTTTAAGCAAGTTACTTTATTACGTTGTATTATCATAACAGGCAGGTTAGGTACGTAAGTAACAAATAGATGTTTCGCGAGGTTTTGATTTCCCTCAACAACTCATGAACGTTGCAATTACATTGTATGATAATGTTATTACATTCCCTTAAAACAACATCTTTAAACGGATTTTAATATGTTCTTCAGTAATGTTAAATTTGGTGCAATCATAACCGAAAAAATTAATTTTGAAAATGTAAAATATTGATATCACAATACTTTACATTCAGTGAAGCAAATAATTATCTGTAAAATGAATTAAAAAATACACGCTAAATATTATGTAACATTCTGTTTTTCATTTTACGTAAAATTAATTTCCACACTTATGTTTGCACCAACTTAAAAAAAAACTTTATTATGCTGAAGAGATAAATAAAATACGTTTCAAACAAGGTGCCACATGTAGAACATGTAGAACTGTAGAATTAATAATAGCAATCGGCCTGTTTCTTGTTTTTATCAAAACCACGCTAAAAATAAATTTATTCCATACATATGAACCACACTGTATTTTCTTATTAGCTACCTGTTTTCTGCATGTTTATGAACTCGTCAACGTATGTTCTTTATTTCATATTTAAAATAATTATACTAAGTGGTACAACTTATTGTTAATTATTAATAAGGTTTTTATTATTCTTATTATAAGGGTTAATATAAATTTAAATAAAATATAACCATAGAATATAATTTACCACAACTTACTACAAAATCAGGATAAACCATAAAATTGAAACATCTATAAATAAACAAAATTATATAACAACTAAAATATCGCCTGATGATTTGAAACTAGCATATCCAAAACTATTATTAAATTTATGTTAATTAGATATATTCTTATATTTGTTTGTAAATACGAAAGAGATAAATCAGTTTCCAAGTAGTAATTAATAATAATATTGAACATGTGAATTCCCTTTCTCGCGCTTACAGAATTTTTATCAAGAGTTATAAACTTTTGTCGATAACCGTGCTAAATGGTAAAAGTAAAATACCGAAGATGTTGAATACTGACTGGGATTGGGGATTACTTAGCATATCAAAGATATAAAATGGACGAGGTACAGAAAATCAGCATCAGTTACTAAATTGCTTTCAGTCCTGCCACCAAAAACAAATATAAATAGTTTTATTGGTATTAGATTTTGCACACAATCAAATGGTAAGTTTTTAAATAATTCTTATGTGTAACATAATTTTTATTTTCATATTACTTTTGATTTTACTGTGTTGTTATTATTATGAATAATTCCCGAATAAGATTATACATATTTTAAATATTGACATTTCTATATTTTTCGTTTTAAAATAATAATTCAAGTCATTTATCATGACTATAAATACAAGAATACCGAAAAATATAACTTACTTATTGAGAACCTTTAAACTAAATAAATATTTTTCATTGCAGATGTTACTAAACTTGATGTTCTGTTCGGTATTAATAATACTGGTGACAGCAGAATCTCAGATACCAAAGAATGATCCATGGAAAGTGAGTCCTCAAGTAAACAGAGACGAAAATGGTAATACCAATGCAGGTATTGAAGTTGAAAGAAAAGGAGACAAACACGATGTTGAAGCAGGATGGAAGAAGGTAGTTCGAGGACCAAATAAATCAAAACCAACCTGGCACGTAGGTGGTACTATTAGGTATAGGAGATCTCCCAAAGAACCTTGGGAAGTGAGTCCTAAAGTGAACAGAGACGAAAATGGCAATACCAATGCAGAAATTGAAGTTAAAAGAAAAGGAGAGCAACACGACGTTGAAGCAGGATGGAAGAAGGTAGTTCGAGGACCAAATAAAGCAAAACCAACTTGGCACGTAGGTGGTACTATTAGGTATAGGAGATCTCCCAAAGAACCTTGGGAAGTGAGTCCTAAAGTAAACAGAGACGAAAATGGCAATACCAATGCAGAAATTGAAGGTAAAAGAAAAGGAGAGCAACACGATGTTGAAGCAGGATGGAAGAAGGTAGTTCAAGGACCAAATAAATCAAAACCAACCTGGCACGTAGGTGGTACTATTAGGTATAGGAGATCTCCCAAAGAACCTTGGGAAGTGAGTCCTAAAGTAAACAGAGACGAAAATGGCAATACCAATGCAGAAATTGAAGTTAAAAGAAAAGGAGAGCAACACGATGTTGAAGCAGGATGGAAGAAGGTAGTTCGAGGACCAAATAAAGCAAAACCAACTTGGCACGTAGGTGGTACTATTAGGTATAGGAGATCTCCCAAAGAACCTTGGGAAGTGAGTCCTAAAGTAAACAGAGACGAAAATGGCAATACCAATGCAGAAATTGAAGTTAAAAGAAAAGGAGACAAGCACGATGTTGAAGCAGGATGGAATAAGGTAGTTCGAGGACCAAATAAAGCAAAACCAACTTGGCACGTAGGTGGTACTATTAGGTATAGGAGATCTCCCAAAGAACCTTGGGAAGTGAGTCCTAAAGTAAACAGAGAGGAAAATGGCAATACCAATGCAGAAATTGAAGTTAAAAGAAAAGGAGAGCAACACGATGTTGGAGCAGGATGGAAGAAGGTAGTTCGAGGACCAAATAAAGCAAAACCAACTTGGCACGTAGGTGGTACTATTAGGTATAGGAGATCTCCCAAAGAACCTTGGGAAGTGAGTCCTAAAGTAAACAGAGACGAAAATGGCAATACCAATGCAGAAATTGAAGTTAAAAGAAAAGGAGACAAGCACGATGTTGAAGCAGGATGGAAGAAGGTAGTTCGAGGACCAAATAAAGCAAAACCAACTTGGCACGTAGGTGGTACTATTAGGTATAGGAGATCTCCCAAAGAACCTTGGGAAGTGAGTCCTAAAGTAAACAGAGACGAAAATGGCAATACCAATGCAGAAATTGAAGTTAAAAGAAAAGGAGAGCAACACGATGTTGAAGCAGGATGGAAGAAGGTAGTTCGAGGACCAAATAAATCAAAACCAACTTGGCACGTAGGTGGTACTATTAGGTATAGGAGATCTCCCAAACAACCTTGGGAAATAAGTCCTCAAGCAAACAGAGACGAAAATGGCAATACCAATGCAGGAGTTGAAGTTAAAAGAAAAGGAGACAAGCACGATGTTGAAGCTGGATGGAACAAAGTAGTTCGAGGACCAAATAAGGCAAAACCAACCTGGCACGTAGGTGGTACTCTCAGATTTAAGAGGTCAATAGAATCACAAAATTAAACACTCGCGATTTTGACCTGTTTGTTTATTTATTATATTGAGCCCAAGATCTCCATTGTGCATGTTTTATTTAATATTATTTATTTATGTATACCAAATATTTTTTATATGTTTTGACTGAAATAAATCCATTGTTTTGATTACGTTAAATTTTGTTTTTCTTAATAATCTACGTATGCTGAATTTACTAAATTATATTTATTACCTATTTATTATTTAGATACGTTAATCAAATAATTAGAAAAAATATTTGTAGAAATTTATAATAACTGGTGTCGTTTATCGATGACAAAGGGTCAAGTGCTCGCCTAGTTCCAGGCTGCAGTGTTTAAAATAAATGGTGTCAGAAAATTTAATAATATATGTTTATATTTTATATATGCACCTGTAAAGTGGTAAGGATAGTTTTCTCTACATCACTTAGACCTCATTAGGTCCATTGTACAACCTCCATAGGAACTGCCTCTCAACTGATGAACCCCCCTTCGAAATATTACCTAGGACGGAAAAAAATTGTTTAAAAATGGTTTAGACTAAGATATTAAGAGCAATCCAGTCCCTTCTAACGTCACACCGCACAAATCTCACGACCTCCCCTTAAAGTATTTGGAGCCTTGTTCGCTACATAAATTTCGCAATGTTGGGTAGGGTCCGATTACAATTCAGGTATAATTCGTTGGCTATCGCCGCCTACTGGGGGTTAGTGGCTTGTTAATATAGGAATGTGGGAATACTATTTTTAAACCAAACAACTCAAATATTTTTTATTTATTGATAGTTATAGATGATATACAGGGTGTCCCGAAATTAGACGGTCATATTTTAACAGCCTAATCTTCATTCTAAAATAGTAGTAAAAGTTCATATAAACATAGGTCCGAAAACTTTTCTTTTCCGAGATACAGGCTGTTAAAGGTGAAGTCCTGATACCACACTTTTGTAAATATTTTCTAAACGTTTAAAGATAATTACGTAAAATTTGTTACAAATACTTAAATTTTTACGCATCATTTATTAATCTTCTTCTTAGGTGGGTAAATTAGGGGGGAGCTTAGGGTAAAATTGCCGTGTGTGTCTGTGTGTCTATATCCATCATAACTCATGAACCGATATACAGAAAAACATTAAATTTTAAACTTAAGCTTTTTTTTTCAGTGTTTAATGAAATGGTTAGATTTTGAGCAGAGTAGGAACATCTGGGGGGGTACTTTATGGGTGGTCATTTTTATATTTTATGGAATATATCTGTTATTTACGTTTGGAAGAGAAAATTCGTTAAATAAAACTTACTTCTAATATTATTATCTATAATTTTTGTTCCATACAAAATTTTTCTAAAATGGTTCGTATTCGAGAAATTTGACAAAATGTAAAAAAAATTATTTTTTATAAAAAATTTTCAAATAAAAGTTGTTTGAAATATAATTCTCTATAATTTTTATTTTACACATAATTTCTCTAAAATGGACCGTATTCGAGATATTTGAGAAAATGTGTAAATTTTGAATTTTGAAGAAAACTCAAAAACGGAAAAAGAAAAAACATTAAATATTAAACTTAAGTTTTATTTCGGCCTGACGTGAAATGATTAGATTTTGGACAAAGTCGGAACATCTGGGGGGTACTTTATAGGAGGCCGTTTTTATATTTTATTGAATATATCTGTTATTTATGTTTGGAAAAGAAAATTGTTCAAATAAAAGTTACTTCTAATATTATTATCTATAATTTTTGTTGTATGTCAAAATTTCCTGAAATGGTCCGTATTCGAGAAATTTGACAAAATATGCAAAATTCTGATTTTTATGAAAATTGTTGAACTAAAAGTTGTTTGCGATATCGATCTCTATAATTTTTGTTTATACATGATTTTTCTAAAATGGACCGTAATGGAAAAATTGTAGGAAAATGCTAAATTTAAATTTTTCAGTATTTTCGTTTTCAATGAATAACTATAGAAAAATGATTCGAGGTAGATGTATGTGGAAAATGTATATATTTAGTTTATACTCTAAACATTTATAGAGGTACTGCAATAAGTTGTACAAAATAACCAGAAAAAGCCTATAATAATTAGATAGGAAAGTCATGTGTTGGACACATCAGATTTTTTGGCTATAAAATTTGGAAAACCAATATTTTCTGTATAATAAAGCTACATTTGTTGCATCTCGCTAGGACGCGCCATTTTCAAGAGAAAAGCATGTTACCTTATTCGAAAGTGTAAACAATAATTAGTAGGTCTGTAGAATTAGAAATTTTATTTTCTTCTTAACTTTGAAAAACCGGTAACTAAAGAAATTTTAGAAAATATTTACAAAAATGTTTCATCTGGACTTCACATGTAACACCCTATATCTCGAAAACAAAACGTTTTCGGACCTATGTTTATGTAAACTTTTACTCCAATTTTTAACCGACTTCAAAAAAAGATGAGGGAGGTTCTCAATTCGTCGCAATATTTTTTTAAATTTTTTTTTTATGTATGTTCAGCGATAATTCTTTAACACGGTGTCCGATTTCAATGATTCTTTTTTTGCTAGAAAGGGAGTACTTCAGGGGTGGTTTCATATAAATTTGGTCAAAATCTAATAATTGGGCCCATGAGAAAATCCTCAAACTCTTCATTTTTTATGTATGTTTAGCGATAATGCTTTACCACCTTGTCCGATTTATATGATTCTTTTTTTGGTAGTAAGGGCGTACCTCAGGGGTGATCCTGTATAAATTTGGTTAAGATGTGGTGACGGCATCTACACGTTTTTGAATTCGGTTTTTTTTAATTTTTAATTTAAAATACTTGTAGGATGTAGATTACGCTGTTAAAATATGACCGTCTAATTTCGGGACACCCTGTATATTGGAAATTCGAAATAATAGTTATGACGTAGCGGTGTTCTTCTAATTGTAATCGGACCCTAGGTATATGGATACGGAAAGTGATGAATTGAAGATAGCTAAATTGTATTTATTGTATTAAAGGAACAACAAATATAAGTACAATTAAATAAGTATAATAATATAACAATTTTTTAAAGTCTGTATTAAAAAAAATTCTTTTCACATAGATTATTAAATTAAAAAATAACTATTAAAACACGAAATGTTAATTTTTTCTCTTTTACAACACAAAATATACCATACTGTTGAATCAAAATTTTCTCTTGGCAAGCAGTGTGGTTTTTGTGACGCGACAATTTTGATGCTTTGCATCTCATGAATTAAAGCTAATTCTCGTTCAATCTTAAGGTGATCATATCCCTTATAATTTTCGGACAACAATATCTCAAAATATTTAAATTTTGGCAAAATAAATTAGGCAATAATATCTATAATATGCATATATTTTAATGTTATAATTCCTTCCAGTATCTCAAAAAAACTAAAAGGGCTTTAATTTTGAAATATCATAATGAAAATAAATGCATTCCTCAACAGCACTATTCTTAATATAATCCCCTAATTTAAGCTCCTAATGTCTTGTTAATGATTTCTTAAAATTCGCCAAAATTAGTGGCTAAAACGCTTCGTTAAGTGCTATCTTCTGGTGTAAACTGGTGTAAATTATTGCAAGAAACGAATAATGACAGAGTGTACGATACGATAGTTACAAGCGCGTTACACCCGAAGGCAGCACATTTATTTTCATTATCATATTTGATTTCTTTTCCCGGAAACTGAAAGGAATTAAAACTTTATATAGTTAATATTTCCTAATTTATTTTGCCAAAATTTTAATTTTTATACAAAATTACTTTTTAAAATATCCTTGTCCGAAAATTATAAAGGCTGCTGCATTCACCTTAATATACCAACATACAGGGTGTTTCAAAATTCATGGAACAAATTTCAGGAGGTGATTGCTCGTATGAAATTTAGATGGGTGTTTTCTATAACAAAATTTCCTCAGCCCACCCCTTTTCGAGATATCACCCTTAAAAGGTAATTTTCGTGCACCCGCAAAGGACTAACCACGTTTTTTTTTCAATATTCCTGTTACATTATAGGGGGGTGAAATTAGCAACCCTTACTTTATTTCATATCAAAACTTTTTTTCGAGATGAAGTTTCATGAAATAATTTTGTAACTTGAAATACTTGTTTTATTTAAAAAAGTTTTCCCAAAACCAATACCTTCATAGAAAAAAAAAACTGTTTTCCACTCAATTTATTAAAAAAAAAAATAAATTAGGGTGTTAATTTTTTTTCTCTGAAGCAATTGGTTTTGGGAAAAAAAATTCAAGAATAAAAAAAAATTAAATAAAACAAGGATTTCATAAAAATTCATCTCACCCCCCTATAATGTAACAGAAATATTGAAAAAATGCCCGTGGTTAGTCCTTTGCGATTACAGAATTTCAAGTTTCTAGCTTTACTGAAATTGTAGAAAAAAAATAAAAACTCAATTTTAGTCACCACCTTTTAAGGGTGATATCTCGAAAAGGGGTGGGCTGAGGAAATTTTGTTATAGGAAAGACCCATCTTAATTTCATACGAGCAATCAGTTCCTGAATTTTGTCGCATGTATTTAGAAATACCCTGTATATTACACATTTTTTTAAGCGGGCAAAATTCTTGACAATCTCTTTTCCCTAATTGGCACATGTCGTATTTCTCTAGGATTTACTACCTTTGGCAGCAAACAAATAAAATAGAAATTTGTCAGCTGTGCATTTTTGCCTTCCAGAATTTTTTATTTCATAAATTAACAAAAAACTAAATTAAACAAAAACCTAACAACGCCCCAACAACAAACTAAGACGATCACAATAATTTCGCACCTCTTCAAAAACAACTACCTATTTTTCGACACAGGAATTAACAAATTTAACTAAACAGCAGCTACCCTTTTAACCACGGGCTTCATAGACTAACAGCGTTGCCATATTCACTGGTATCATTGTTTTAATAGAATTAGTATCGGAATGAAAACTATGTTAATCTTCGGTCCTGTTTAAAATTGGTAATCTTTTTGAAAAAAAGTTATTTAGAAAATAGTTAAGATATTTGTTATAGAATGACGCTAAAGAGCTAAAAAATTTAATTTGTTAAAAAGTTGAAATTTTTGTTGTTTTTCTTTATAAATATAAGTTTTTCGCGATTTAGCGTCATTCTTGGTTTATTTTTACAACGATTGGCCTGAACCATTTT